TGGCGTTGTAGCAGGTGCAGGGATTTGACAAAGCCCGTGTGGCCAGCCGGTTTAGATCCATGGACCAGGCTCATTACTTCCCCCCGCAACAGTCTCGGAACAAACAGTTTTTCATCTTTAAACCAGCACCCATTCTTCCCTTGCACCACGCCCCCCACCACCTCCACCTCCTGTTTATCAGCCTCTGAAAAAGCGGAGGCAAACTTGGTTTCCCATCCCCCGGGAGGGGGGGGAGAAGGAGGGCCCGTTTAGCTTGGCCCCATGTCGTCACCACTTCGCCCAATTGAGAGGGCGTGAACACGGAATCTAGGACCTCATCCCGCCGGCTTTCGTGCTGCGGTAGGCGGGACAAGGCATCCGCCAGAGAGTTCGACTTGCCCGAGAAATGGTGTATGGTAAATTGGAACTTAGAGAAGAAGTCAGCCCACCGAAGTTGTTTGGCGTTTAGAATTCGGGGGGTGCAGAGGAGTTCTAGATTTTTGTGATCCGTCCACACTTCAAATGGCACCCTTGCCCCTTCCAACCAATGTCTCCATGCGGAGAGAGCCAGTCGGATTGCCCCTGCCTCTTTCTCCCAGATTGACCAATTCCGCTTAGTGTCAGCGAATTTGCGGGATACGTAAGCTATGGGATGGAGTTTGCCGTCTGGCCCCTGTTGCAGGATCACCCCACTCATAGCTACATCTGAAGCGTCAGTTTGCACCACGAATTTTTTTGTTTCATCCAAGTGCGCTAGCACGGGTTCGGTGGTGAAAAGAGCTTTTAGTTTATCGAACATGTCTTGGCACTCAGGGGTCCAAAGCAGCTTAGCCCCGGGCTTGGTAGCCTCTGGTCCCTTCCCCTTTGTTTTCAGTAAGTCAGTAAGGGGCAAGGTTACTTGAGCAAAGTTCGGCAGAACATTTCTATGGAAATTGACAAACCCTAGGAAGCTTTGGAGTTGCTGGCGAGTTTTAGGGGCTTCCCACCCCAAAACGTCTTTCACCTTTCCCCGGTCCATTTCTATGCCATGGGGGGAGATGTGATAACCCAAAAAGTCAATTTCCGTCTGATGGAACTTGCATTTTGATAGTTTGGCAAACAGTTTGTGTTTATGCAACGTTTTGAGCACTTCTCTGACCAACTGCACATGAGAGGTTTTGTCGGGGGAATACAGTAAAATGTTGTCTAAATAGACAAGGACCCCCTTAAACAGGTGCTTATGCAACACCTCATTTATCAAATTCATAAATACTCCTGGAGCCCCCCGGAGACCGAATGGCATTACCAGGTATTCAAACTGGCCTAAAGGGGTATTGAAAGC